CCCCCCCACCGCTGGCGCCCCTGCTCAGATACTGTAACATGAGAAACAGTGAGTTAACGGGAGGACACAGGTGATGAAAGAAACAAATATTAAACTGACTGTCTAAAGCTGAAGATGCTGCACAGCACAGGTAGTTCTATTTCGAATAGGCTTCACTCTTTAAGGCTAGCACTAGTGGGTTTTAGTGCTAGCCTTAAAGGGCTGTGCCTATACTCATAGAATCTGGGGTTACAACAAGTAACCAACGATTTAACTTTTGAGAAGAGAAACTGGATTACCTGGACAAAACTATTTTCCAGGAAGAACATGTATACTCCACACAGACAGGCTAACCAGCCAAGACATAATGTTTTCTAACTGTGAAGGGGTGAGGTGGTGGTGTGGTGTGTGGCACTTCAAGTTTGAATTGCTTCTCACAATACTGCATGTGTTTGTTCATAATGTCATGTCAGAGGTTTGATTCTAACTGCTACACTGCTGTCAACATAAAATCATGAAAGGTGATGTGTTCCAGCTAAGAATGAGCACCCGCTTTGGATGTTATCATCCATGAAATGGACGTTATTAGGCGTTATCAGTCCCCTAGAATGGCTTAAGAATGTTCCGCCTGTGCCAGTTAGCAGGTTCCCCGTCCCATAGAATGGCTTCCGATTGTCAGCTGGTTAATTTGAGGCATAAAGCCACTATCTGGTTAATATGAGGCAATAAAACTACTATCTGGTTAATATGAGGCATAAAGCCACTATCTGGTTAANATAAAGCCACTATCTGGTTAATATGAGGCAATAAAACTACTATCTGGTTAATATGAGGCATAAAGCCACTATCTGGTTAATATGAGGCAATAAAAGCACTATCTGATTAATATGAGGCATAAAACCACTATCTGGTTAACATGAGGCATAAAGCCACTATCTGGTTAACATGAGGCATAAAACCACTATCTGGTTAACATGAGGCATAAAAAACTGGTTAATATGAGGTTTAAAGCCACTAAGGTTAACTTTAGAGCAAATGACATGGTTAGCACTAAAGACACCGCCCTCCAACAGTTGGCCTTCCAATAGGGCAATGGGTAGAGTGTCTGATCAGAGAGCTCGAGACCAGGGTTCAAGACTGACACGAACACAAAAAATTTCTTACAATATGTTTTGGTTATTTACACATTCATTGTCATTGATATATTAACCCACTAGGGGGCACTGTTGGGACAGTCTGAAGCCTAGAAGGCACAGTAGGGACCCTCTGAAGCCATTGTATGGGACTGATAAGCCTAATAACGTCCATTTCATGTACTCATAACATCAGAATCCCCTGGAATGAGAGGCCTTTAGTTATTTGACAAACTATATACTCATTTGTTCCAGCCTGCATCAATCTCATTCATTCTCATTATGGACAATTAGATCAGCCATCCTCAGGCAGTGTGTGGCTGTAAATCAGCTGCTTTTATTTCCACTTAAGATTGTTTGGTAATTAAGTGAAAGCTTTATTTAACACTGAAACTAAAATCAGATCAGATTTTTTATCATGATATTGCTTTGGGATTCCAATGCTACACAAATGTTTTCTATGATAACAGTTCACATTCATAGGTTTATCTAAAGAAGGGCTGTGTGGAGGTGGTGTAGTTAGCTCTGTTGTCACACAGCAGTGGCTGGAGTATTGCAGACGCTGTGCCGGTCCGTTGCGGTGAGGGTTAGGGTTAAACAGAGCTGAGCTGCATGGTGAATGCCTTGGAGTCCTCCTAGAAGAGCTAGAGGGGGTGGCTGTGTAAAGTCTGGGCCTCCCTGATCAATCTGCTGCCCCTGCAACATGGATGGTTCACATGTAATCCTCTGAGAAAACATGGAACACAGCACACGGGCTGAGGGGAAGCAGCACAGTGATCGGACAGAACACAGAATATAAAGGCAGAACTTAATGAGACAACAAGAAACACCTGAGGGAGACACAGGAGGAGACAGATTTAAGATTTAACAGATTGATTTAAAAAAAGCATTTGATACTATTGACCACAGTATCCTTCTAGAGAAATTAAACAAATATGGTATAAGAGGTCCAGCACTACAGTGGGTATCAAGTTATTTAACTAACAGGAAACAGTTTGTACAAATTAATGATGTAAGATCTGAACTTTGTAATGTTGTATGTGGGGTTCCACAGGGTTCTGTACTGGGAACAAAGTTGGTTCTCCTACAGTATATATTAATGACTTGGTAAATGTATCAGGGTTCTTTAAATGTATTTTATTTGCAGACGACACTACTTTTTTTTGCTTGGGCAATAACAGAACAGATGATGGAAATGATGGAAATAGAATTTGTAAAAGTACAAACTTGGTTTAAACATAATAAATTATCATTAAATTTAGATAAAACAAATTACATGATATTTATTAATAGAAAGAAAACAACCGATGTTCCATTTAGAGTATATGGTGTTGAGATTTGCAGAGTTAATGAGGTGAAGTTTCTGGGAGTCATCATTGATGAAAAACTGACATGGAGACCTCATATAAATTACTTAAGAACAAAAAATGGCAAAAATCTATTGGAGTATTGCATAAAGTTATGGAGTTATTTAATGATAAAGCACTATTATAATGCAATAATTGTTCCACATTTGATTTATTGTATAGAAGTCTGGGAAAATGCATGTAAAACCATTACTAATCCTATTTTTATTTTACAAAAAAAACCATATGATTATCACAAGAAAGCATTAATATCACCCTTCTAATATATTGTTTCATCAATTAAAATTGTTAAAATTTCATGAGTTGGTTGATTATAACATTCTGCAGGTTATGTAAAAGGCTCATAGAAATGTGTTGCTGTCAAACATCCAATCACATTTTGTAAAGAAGGGAAAGCTGCTATAATTTGAAGGGATTACAAATGTTTGTTAAACCAAACATCAGAACAAACTTGAAGGACAGATGCACTTCAGTAAAAGGTATAAGACTATGGAATAATCTGGAAAATGACTATAAAAGCATTGGATCAGTGAATTCCTTTAAGAAAACAATCAAAGAAAATTTGTTAAAGTAAAATGAAATTGTTTAATTTCTGTTCTGCTGTGAAACTCACCACCTTATACACGTGTAAATCCAGTTCTCCTGATGTTGTTTTCCAGGTGTTCAGGATGATGAAGATGTGAAGCAGATGTTGCACGGCTCCAGTATGGTCAAGGTAATAGCAGTTTAAGCATGTCTGTCTCCATCAAATGGTCATGGATAAAGGTTTGTTGGTTTTTATCTGCGGTGTGAAGGTTCGCTCATCCCGCTGGCAGAAGCAGCGAACGCTGAAGCTTCTGGAAGATGGCGTCACTGTGTGGTGTCAGTCACAGAAAACATCCAGCCGGGCCAAACAGCAGCAGTCCTGTGAGTCTTTGTCTTTTTTAATGTGACTACAGCTGGATGAAAGTCATTATGATCATGTTAAACATGTTCTGCATGGCAAATAGCACTCAGGTGTTTTTTTTAAATAAAATTTATTTCATTTAAACAACAAAAAACAAACATTAAAAATAAACAAAAAAGCACAATATCGTTAAATGAAAAGGAGCAGAGAGAAGAAAAGAATCTTATATCTGCCCCCAATTAAAACAATATCCATAAAAATAACAAAATATACATCAAGAAATAAAAAAAAATATATTTCATCCAATGAACAGCCGAGAGAGAGAGAGAGAAAAAAACAAGAACAAATGTAAATTATTCAAACATAGACTGCCCATAACTTATCAAACATAAAGTTTTGACCCTTCTTCTAAATGAATGAATAGAACCAGCAGGTTTGAGGTTCTTTGCTAAACTATTCCATAATTTGACAGCCTGAACTGAAGTACATCTCTTTCAAGCTTGTTCTAATTTTTGGTAAAACAAACATCTCGAATCCTTTCAAATTATAAACACTTTTCCTCTTAGTAAAATAAAATTGCATTTCAGAAGGTAAAGCATTGTTATGAGCTTTATACATCATCAACAAAATTCTATAATTAACCAGATAATAAAACGTCAACAATCTCAACTGACTGAACAAAACATTAGATGGATGACAACAATGCTTTCCTGTTAAGATTCTTACGGCTCTTCTTTACAAAACAAAAACAGGATATGTAAATGTTTTACATGCTTTTCCCCAAACTTCAATGCAGTAAGTTAAATGAGATTCAATAATGGCGTTATATAATAAGAGCAAGGCTTCATCATTAAATACTTCCTTAGCCTTGTAGAAAACTGCAATTGATTTCAGTTTTAGTTTTTATGTAACTTATGTGAGATATCCAATTTAAATTTTCATCAATAATAACGTCCAAAAATTTCACCTAAATAACTCTACTAATTTCAACACCACAAATTTGAAATGAAACATCAACCATTTTTTTCTTTTACTAAATATCATATAGTTAGTTTTATCCAAATTAAGTGATAATTTATTAAACTCAAACCAATCATGTATCTTTACAAAATCTAACTTCAACAAAGCTAGCAGATGTTCTAAATTGTTTCCCGAACAAAAAAGTAGTGTCATCTGCAAACATGACATTTCATTACATCAGACACATTAACCAAATCATTGATATACAAAAGCAACAACATGGGCCCTAACACAGAACCCTGTGGGACCCCACAAGTAATTGTCTCAAAAGTTGATCGTACATCGTTAATTTGCACAAATTGTTTCCTAGTGTTGTTTCTTGTGTGAATCCCTTTAAAGAGTGTTTGGAAGTGGCTCCCACAGGTCCTGAGCTAAGTCTGACGGTCCTCAGGTTTGAGGAGGAATCACAGCAGAGGTTGTATTTTGGTCCAGTTAAAACACTACTTCTCCTCCACTATCTGAGAGTCTTTCAGTGCCTTAATTACAGAGCTGGGTTATTTCCAGGATAAGATGGCCGCCCATCCTGCTGTAGTTCAAACACTGAGATTATAGGATATTATGTGGAGCTGGGAGTTGGCCTTGGAACCTGTGGTTTTGTGCTGTATAGTTACCATGAGACTCAAACCTAACTTTAGCTTCCAAGCATACAGTAGAAGGTCTCACACTGGGTTAGTTTACCTGTAATGTGGTTTCTCTGTTACAGAACTTGTCTGACCACCAGGGTGTTCCTCGTGACATTTCAGATCACTACAGTCATGTTCCTTTAATTAACAACGTCTAAAAACACACGAAGGTGACGGCAGCTGAGGCGTATTGCACCAAACTAGGATAAGGGATTAACCTGGGATTTAGGTGTAAACCTGAATTAATTAATCCTTGAATCGGTTGCATGACAGAGGAAGCACTTATGTTTCTGTGTTAACAAGTGCACTGAAACTAACCTGGTCCTGATCAGGTTTAAAGTGAAGCTTATTTAATCTGTTCATGGTTTTGAGCAGTAGAGTCATTTTACTGCAGAAAACTGTTGCTCTAACCAGGTTTTACAGTCTTCTATCAGCTAAGTTTGTTTTTACTTCAAGAAGTCTTACCAAGTGCAACTGTCAAACTGCAGATTATTAATTATTATTAATTTGAAAAGAATAAGGCTCTAATCTAGTAGTAGTGAGTGCTTGAGTCTATCATTGTTTGTCTGTGTAACAATCGATGTTTTAGGCTTAATTCCATTGCCATATTTCATTCACCTTCATTTATTCAACTTGTTGTGAAGACACAACTGTAGGGGTCACCTCGAGTGAAGAAACAGGAGTTCCAGCCTCAAAGCAGGCCTCGCACAGGCCTGAGAACTGGCAGGAACGCTGAACTCTTATTTTAGGCCATGACGGGTCATTT